ACTTATTTTTGCAAACTATTGTAAATTTCTCATTTCTAAAGTAATATATTAAAAAAAATAAAAATATTTATTTATCTAACTAAACCATGAAATGTACTACATATACTAGCAATACTAAACTATCAAGTGATTTTGATGAACTAATTTAAATTTTGTTTATCCAAACATATATCCAAATCATCACGTGATTTTGAGCTAAAAATGACATAAAATCATAATAAAGTCCAACATATAAAGTTACACATGCATCTACATCATAAAATGAGATAAGCTACTGATAAAACATAAGAGGATTAAGTTTGTTACCTCCAAAATCGAAGAGCAACACCAATGGAGGGGGAGAGAGCAAGAACAACAGCAAGCTGAAGAACAAAGGCAGTGAGTTTGAATGGAATGGCTCGGGCTCGGGGAGGAAGAAATGAGCTGGTCTATAGGCCGGGATAATTAGTCCCGGTTAGGGGGCCAAACCGGGACTAAAGATTAATCTTTATTCCCGGGGCATCACCCAAACCGGGACTAAAAGCTTTAGTCTCTTTGGTATTACCAACGGGACTACCTTTAGTCCCGGTTGGTAATACCAGCCGGGACTAAAGATCCCTGTCCCGCGGACGACCGTTGGGCAGGAACCTTTAGTCCCGGGGGCAAAAAATGCCGAGGCTAATGCTAAATTGGGACATCGTTCTAAAGTCTGTTCTCTAGTAGTGCTTATACTGTTGAACGAGTGGCCACGGCTTCTTCGCCCAACGGATAATAACAATATAATGTTATGAACCAGGAAGGATTTGGAGAAGGGCAAAAGGGAAATCTCAGGGAAGAAGAAGAACAGAGGGGTATAGTGGGGAGATACGAACTCTGTTCTCTATTCAAATAGCAGGGCTGCAGGGGTATACCAGGCTAGCTGGCTAGCAGCGCTTCCAAGCATCAGTAGCCCAAGCACTTCCAACAATACAAGCTCGCTTTCTCCCCTGATATAGCTCCTGCCACCCCAGGCAATGTGTAATTCCAGTGGGGTCTTTCCTTTTTGCTTATTTTTTAGGTCTTTGCAACATTTCTTTGTTTCCTGTTGGTTTCCTGTTGTTTTGTTTCCCCCCCCCCTCTAATCTTTGTTTTTTCGTAGTGGTTTGGAGTCGGTAGAGGTGTTTTTAGCAAGTTGCGGGAGCTTCCCTCCCTGTCCTGTTTTCTTGTGGTTGTGGAAGCACACCCTACAGCTTACTTGTGGTTGTGGAAGGTCCTCTTGTTATACATAGATGGAGCTTCGATGAATTATTCCTGTGGCGCGCAGAATCTCATCATTAACCGGTTTGCTTGTGACGACATTTATGTCAGTTTGGTCTTACTTGGTGCATGCACAATCAATTACATGGTTGGTGCTACGTAGTAGTACAATAAAATCTAGCTTGATCAATCACGCCAATATGTTGTACAGCTACGTGCCGCCAACCATGCATGCATACATACATACATTGTCGTCGAGGACAGGCAGCTCTTGAATGAAGCCACAATGGTCACCATCGGAGCATGGCAACTAACGAGGCTCGTTCACTTCGATCTGACAGTCGGCATGCATGGTTGATGAACAACCTAAGCACCAGAAACATAACGCCAAAGCTCTTCACGTGCAGCACGCTGGAAGGAATTAAAAATGAGATGACGGTGCGGCAACTGGCGGGAGCTAGTGGTGGTCCATGACCACACAATTGGCCTGGGTAGAGAGCATCAATGATGCTTACTTGTCTTACTTCTGCAGCTATATAACTTCGTTAATTGGGATGGCTACGGTCGTTGCAGGTATAGCCCCGATCGACACGGCAGACCACATAGTGTGGAAGAGTTAGTTCTAGACGGAGCATGCATGGAAATCAAACTTCTTGCCTTCTGCTCACCTGTGGTTGTAATTACAGATCCTTTTATTCATGCATGTGTCTATCTCGGTGCTACTGGGATCATACCTGATGTCTCTGCCTCTGAAAAACCTCCACTAATAAGGGGAGACAACAAATTAAGCAGCAATGTGTGGATGGAGCTCGGTGTGTAGAGAATAAGAAAGTTTGGGTTTAAAGAGAATGTAGAGGATAATTGTATTTATGTAAAGTTTAAATATGGGAAATCAATTTCCCTAATCCTGCACGTGAATAGCACCTTGATCGCTAGTAGTGGTGTTAATCTACTGTTGGAGAAGAAGCAGTTCTTGTCCTCAAGTTTCAATGAAAATGATCTTGGTAAAGCGTCATTCGTTCTAGAAATTGAAACCTACCGAGACAAAAGGAAAAGGGGTATTAGAACTATCTCAAGTGTATACTTAGAGAAGATTCTAAAGAAATAAAGTATATATATGAATAAACATGCGTCTGTTCCTATAGTCAAGGGTAATAGTTTTAGGAACTTTCAGTGTTCCAAGAACCAATGTGAGATCGAAAGGACGTCCTATCTGCTTCAGCTGTTGGAAGCTTAATGAGTGCTTATAAGTAAGAACTTACCCTGACATAGTTCATGTATCCGGCATGTTTTGGCAGAAGTCCAGTCCAGATATAGATCACTGGAATGGAGTTGAGAATGTTTTGCAATTGTGCAAAGATTTATAGGCCTCATGGTGAGTAAGAAAGAATAAGTACTCTCAAATAGTTGTGGGTACAAATGTTAAATTTTGGCGAGATGTTTAGTGAAACCCACATAGTAGCTAACACTCGCAGTTGGAGTTTTATTGTGGAAAAGCTCCAAAGAAACAGTTGTGGTGTCATCAAAGATGCATACCCACATTATAGCTTGTTATGAGGCTTAAGGACAGGCGAAATGGTTAAAAGAACTTACACCCAGAATTGATATTGGTATACAACAGCAATAACCATTTAAGTAGTTCGCTCCTATAACAACGGGTCAAGTGTGCTGCCAAACACATTGACGTTAAAGTTATACGTTGTGAAGGAGAAAGTCCGGAATCATACTAAAAGTATTGAACATATACTTAGCAAGTGCTTGCGGATCCGCGTACAAAAGGCTTACCACCCAGTGTGTTCAGAGAACACACAGTCGACATGGGTTTATGGGAAAGCCTATGATTTCCGGACAATAAAGGGCCCAAAGTTAAAAAATCTGTTTCAGAACAGAGACGTGTATTGTAGCTGTTAAATCTATCGGCGATTGACCGTAACGATGAAGCATGCTCTATGCACTAATCTGTGATGGAACAAATAAAAGTGAAAATGATTAAAGTCAAAGTTTAAAGTTAAAGTATGAGTTGAGATCAATGGGGAGAATGTTAGTTTGATCTCACAACCACAGTGGCCCAACGGCCACTTGGGCCTTGACCTCGCGCCCTGATCGGGGGCGCCCAGTCCATCTATGGCTGGCGGGCCCCCGTCACACTGCGCATTAAATAGATGTGGGCGCCGGCGGCTCTCAGTACGAGGTTGGCCTGAGCCGTACGCCCCACCGAAAAACCCTACTCCGATCTAACAGAGGGGCGCAGCCAGTGACGGGAAGCACCGCCGCCGCCACGGCACTGCGCCAACACCACTTCTTCTTCATCGCCCGTCGCTGCCCTAGCGCAGATCTTCACCGGCGAACCTGTGATGGCCGGATCCGCCTCCTCAATGCCTACCGATGGTCAGTGCCTAACCCTAACTCTCCCTCTCCCTCTCTGTCCCTCAACGTACACACCATTTCTACGAGAAACCTAATGAAACCCCACTGATCTACACCACGGATGGTCCAAAGTATCTAACATGTACATGTCGTGAGTGAGAGCTAGAAAATATAGCAGCACCAACAATATACTAAGGGTACGTGCATGCAGCAGCATCAAGACAAAATTAAACTATACATGCATCAACATTGTCATAAACCGATTGGGCAGCGTCCAGCCGTCCACAACCATAAGCAATGTAGTGCTTCTTCATCCCTGAAAGCGGAACGAATCTCCCTATGATTTTCATTATATTATACGGGATCATCATCAGTACAAAACAAGCCATGCGCTGTAAGTGGAGTCTTCCTTTCTCTCCTACATTGTCATAAGCCTCTCTTTTGGTCTCTGACTAACCATTATATTATCATTAATAATATATATGTTTCTCTTACGACATTAGTCCTGATCGACGTATACATATGTGCTAACTTAGCTTATAATTTCAGCTTGCCGGCCTGCCGGTTCGAGCATATGTGTGTGTCAGTGTGTTGGTACATACACAGGGAACATGGGGATCTTTGCGAGTTTCATATGGCGAACTGCACCGTAGGTTTTTTTTTTTAGCGAAACTACGGCAGCTTAAGCAGCTGCCTGAACATTTTTATTGCATAAGAGTTGACAAATAATTACAGAGGCCAAAGAAAAGAAGAAGACAAAACACAAAAACACAGAGAAAGCACAAGAAAAAGGGTCTACATTAAATATTACAACCAAGAAGGAGGTGACATCAAAGTAAGGAGGACAAGAAACAGCTACACTCAAGAACAGCGGTCTTGTCAGGCACAGAAAAGCAGCGGTAAGACCAGAGACTTAAATCGTCGGCACAACGCCGGAAAATCCTATGGTTGGTTTCGTCTGAATGCTTGAAGACCTTGGAGTTACGACATTTCTAGATATTCCACAGAACACAGATGACCACCGTGGATCTTAACTTCAGTTTAGTGTTTCGAAGAGGAGGAGGTGGGTTGTCCCAGAGCTGTTCCACGTGGGTGTCTAGGCCCAGCGCCGCCAAGCAACTGCACCGTACGTTGAAGAACCAGTTGCTCATGTTTGGGCTCCTGCTGGCCCTCCTATGGAGCATGCGTTCCATCATGGACATATTTGGTACCTGTAGCCTCCGAGAGCATATATGTGCCTGCTGATTACTTCCATAGTTCCATTCTACAGAGACATTCGCTGCCAGATTGTTATTATTCAACTAGACACCTATTAAATACATTCGGAGGTACAATGCAAAGGGGAGAAACTATATGGACAGGCAATACTAGCAGCACCAACAATATACCAGGGAAATACTACATGCATCTCTCTCATATCAATGGGCGCCCTTGAGTCTCATGAGCGCCGTTATGATACCGATAAATCCACCAAAGGCGGAGACAACCGCGACGATGTACTTGCAGTTGTTGTAAAGAAACGCGTACACCTTGATCCACGGCCTCTTGTTCCTGTAAATATGGATCTCTACAATGACGTCGGCATAGCAGCGTCCTTTGCGCAGGCTCTGCAGGCTGGTGAAGAAGTCGAGTGTCGTCTTGTTTTTGAGCCCTGCTCCTCCTTGCAGGATACCCTTGGTTCGCAGCTCATGCACGTCCTTCTCCCGATGCATCAACATGCACAGGAGGAGGAGGTACGAGCAGACAGCAGAGTCTTCCGCCTTGGCATTCAAAAAATTTGGAGTCGTGCATATCTCGAGAGCCGCCATGTTGACGAGCCAGCTTGCACGTGCATCGTTGAGAGACAGCGGCGCCATGGAGAGCTCGGCGAAGATGATCCACTTCCTGGCGAGGCCCATGTCTGGGAGCTTCGTTGTTTTGTTGGCTGTGAGTTAGATGCCCATTTCGGCAAGCACGATGGCACCGGCTGACATTGGTATCGATTCAATTTTCTTTGAATCTGAAGGAGACACCTTGGGTTTCCTGCTTCTTTTTCCTACAGCGTAGGATCGGAGGCGGCCAAGGAGATGCGGTGCTTTATTGTAGTAGTCTTGGTCCCAAACACCAGGCAATTTAAAGTCAAGCCGGTCTTGCAGAAAGCCATCTCCTCACCAGGCAATTTAACGTCAGCATTTCCTGCAAGTGCTCGGACGTGCAGATGTTCATGACGGCGTCCACCACCTGCAAGGGGATCTGGTTCTCAAGCAGCATGATGTCATGAGCGATGTCATTGTCGTTGGACTCGAAGAAATCGCACAGGTCCTGGTCGAACTGCGTGCCCGACTTCCTAAGCATGTATATCACCAAGAAGCAGGCGTCATAGAACATCATAGGTAGGAATTAGTCGTCCTTATAGCCGATACCTGCCATCACGTCCTTGTCGTTGAGGGCGCGGGCATCGATTTTCGCGGCGACGGAGACCACCGCGTCATACATGTCCCGGACCGAGAGGCCGGAATTGTCGTTGTTGACCTTTTTGTACTCCTGGATGCAGTACTGCGCAGCCACATGCTTCATCTTCTCCGCCTTCTGAAGGTGGCCTTCGGGGTGGTAGTAAGGGCCGATGGCCACGACCTTGGGCATAGTACACCAATCGCCGAGAGCTTGAATGCTTGGAGGGTACCTATGCATCTTCGTTTTCATCAATTTGGCATCATCCATGAACTCCTTCTGTCTTTCCTGGAACAGCTTCTCAGGGCTATTCATATAGGTCTCCGTAGGATCTGGATCATGGTGCTGTGCGGTCCAGTTCTTCGCCAGCTGAAGCTCGTAAGGTCCCGCCCATGCAGCAGTGGATTCCATATATGCGCTGCTAGCTCCAACCGCCAATTAAGCTGAACGCACGCAGCAATATGTAGTTTGCTGCAATAAGCACTGCACAAAATTAAAAGAATGTAGGAAATGGTGAAGAGTAGTGAAACATGCAAGAGAACGAAACTGCATGCTAGCTAGCATGTATATAATCAGAATTGAACGTAATGTACTCATGAGAGAAGCATATATTCAGCAGGGTTAGTAATAAGATATCCAAATGGAGAAGAGAAAAGAATACTTACACTAGCGAGCAGGGCAGAAGAAGCACAGCCTTCTCGACGCTCCTCTTATAGAGCGTCAGTTCCTATTGTAGTGCAGGGGTGTGTTTAGTTCACCCTAAATTCCCAACTTTGGCACTATACAAAAAGAAGATTTTCCGTCACATCAAACTTGCGGTACATGCATGGAGTATTAAATGTTGACGAAATCAAAAACTAATTGCACAGTTTGGTTGTACTTTGCGAGACGAACGTTTTGAGCCTAATTAGTCAACGATTGAACAATTATTACCAAATACAAACGAAAATGCTACAGTGCGCTACAATAGTCTACAGAAATTCAGGCGGCACCGATTCCTGCCAACTAAACATGGCCCAGATTGTCATCTAAGGTTGCCCAATTGCTTTACGACAACGTTTATGCATGTATACTTTAGCCTTGATGGATGCATGTGCACGTGGTTGGGCCTACCATCTCTCACGACAACATTTACAGCTACCACAATCCATATTGTATCGCCCGCCTGGAAGAGTCCTTTATTGTAAGAGAAGCTCGAGGGCATCTTTAACGGAAAAGCTATCAGTACAGCAGACGCGTGCTTTGCCAAGTGCAATTGCACTCGGCAAAGAGCTGTCGGCAAAGGCTTCTTTGCCGAGTGCCGCATGTCGAGCACTCGGCAAAGCCTTAGCCGAGTGCCAGAAAAGCACTCGGCAAAGATTTACACTCGGCAAAATAAAAATGCGAAAAAACCCAAAAATAATAGCAAATTTTTTTTTCGGGGGAGGCCGCCACCGGCCAGCGCCCGCCCGTCTTCATCGAAGTCGGTGCATTTTTTGCGCTAAATTCGCAGCTAACGCGGCCGGCGGGATTCAAACTCACGACCTCCCCCTCGCGTGTCTGCTGCTCTACCACTACACTACACTGTCACTTGTGTCTAGATTCCGTTATCTATCCTCATATATTATACTAAACCGAGAGTAAATTGCTTGTTTGAGGCCCTAAACAAATTCAAATCAAAAAGTGGTCAACTACAAAGCTTCATAACATTTCGAGATCTACAATTTTCATTTAGGAAGTTTTTCCATCCGAGGTCGTTTGAAAAATTCGAATTTCAAATTTGAGAGATTCAAACGTAGTTTTGCGTGATAAGATGATTTCAAATCAAAAAGTTGTCAACTACATAGTTTCATAACTTTTGGAGATCTACAATTTTCATTTAGGAAGTTTTTCCATCCGAGGTCTTTTAAAAAATTCAAATTTTAAAATTTTCAAATTCAAACGTCGTTTTTGCATGACAAGATGATTTGAAATCAAAATGTTGCCAACTACAAAATTTCATAACTTCTCAAGATCTACAAAGTTTATTTTGGTCATTTGTTCATCCGACATAGTTGTAGTAACATTGTTCTCAAATCTTATATATCTCTCTTCTACTTTCATGAAACTAATATGAGAGATGTAGATTTTATGAACAACGTTATTGTCGCTTTGTCAAATGAAGAAATGACCAAAATAAACTTTGTAGATCTTGAGAAGTTATACAACTTTGTAGTTGAAAAGTTTTTCATTTGAATTCATTTAGGGCCTCAAAAATTGCTTTGAAAAACTTATTTGCCGAGGGCCAAAAAAATACACACGGCAAAATGCCTCTTTGCCGAGTGCCAAAACAAAGGCACTCGGCAAAATACATCTTTGCCGAGTGCCAGAAAAAAGGCACTCGGCAAAGACGCATTTTGCCGTGTGCCGAAAAATAGCACTCGGCAAAATACATCTCTGCCAAGTGCCAGAAAAAGTCACTCGGCAAAGACGCATTTTGCCGTGTGCCGAAAAATAGCACTCGGCAAAATACATCTTTGTCGAGTGCCAGAAAAAAGGCACTCGTCAAAGACGCATTTTGTCGAGTGTTTTTTTTTTGCCGAGTGTATTTTATTTGGCACTCGGCAAAGACCGTCTTTGCCGAGTGCCCGATAAAATACACTCGGCAAAGCCTCCGACACTCGCAAAGTGCCGGTTTCCGGTAGTGTATATGGTGCCCGGGTGTTTGTTTTGTCTCCTACAACCGATTTTGTGTCCATCCATCACACCCCCTCCGCACACGGGCTGAGATGTGGGCTGCGGCGGCCTTTTTATCCTTTTTTTAATTTTTTAAATCTCGGGAGTCGTGCCGTTTTCTATTCATTTCTCTCGAGGGTGGGAGGAGGGTGGGGAACCGGCGCGGCGGATGGGGGCGGAGGGCAATCTGCTGGCGATTTGTAGGGATTGTGAATTTCTATTCAATTCTATGACTTCTGTTGTGTGAATCCAACGTTGTTATTGTGTTCTCTGTCTCGTATTCACACCCCTGTGATCTGTTTGCGATTTTTGTGTGACATTTTTGTGGATTTTTCGTGGAATATAGATCCTGCTTTCTGCCGCGTTTGTCCCGTTTCGTGCAGTTCAGTGGATTCGATGTTGCAGGAGGGAGGGTAGCGGGTGCAGCGGAGGGGGCGATGTGTGCTAGGGTTTGTCGATTCTGCTTAATCCCTATCATTTCTGGTGTGTGGATCAGGTGTTTGTTGTCGTGTGATTTTCCTACACTGCCTGCTTTACTAGTGACAACTTTGTTGACACTAGGTTTTTACTAGTGCGCTAGATCCAAGCCTTTTTGTGATTATGCTAAATTCACACCCCCACCATGGATCGATGCATCGGAGGCGGAGGGATTCGTATTTTTGTTTTCAGTTAATCAGTTGTGTTTGCTACCATGTATGCGAGTAAGATAATTCTGCATTATTCTGTTTTTTTCCTGGTTGTGCATGTTTGAGTGGCCTGATGATGGAAAATGTTGATAACTGCTCTTTTTTTTAATATACACATTGGATTTAGCCACATGCATACTGTTAAATTATATTTTTTTCTACACCCATAAGCCATTTTGCTGAATCCACGATATGTGTTTTTATCTCAATCAGTTCCTCCATGCTAATGTGTCATTTTTTTCCAGGTTTTGTGTGCACGACAGATAGAAGCATTGCCAGCTTTCAGGCTATTCTTCCCTGGTTTGTATACATCACGTGTTATCCTTTTTTTGTGACCTTTTATATCTGTGATTGGTTTCATTGTTGTATTAAATCTTTTTTATCCTGTCGTTCTGTATTTTGTTATTAGTGATGGATAACTTTCTAGAAGTTGCGGTACTCATGCTGCGGATCAGTTGTTATTGAGTTACGGATTACATATTTGTTTGATACGTGCCATTGTAATCAACAGTGAGCTCAATCCATGCTCCCGTCCATCAAAAAGTGTTATTGCCTCCAGTATTTTGCGTTGAGGGTATTTTGTTTAGATTACTTTGGAATGTTCATTGGAGAGTCACTACTGATTTTGATGGGACTATTTATGTGAGGTTATTCTTCGTTCGTGATTCCATGACAATTGGTGATAGCATTTATCGTTGGGATGATGCTATTGTTATTTTCGATCGTGTTAATTCTGCGGTGCCCTGGAACATGCCTCATGATGTTGTAGTCATTCAAAGGCTGGATTAGTGATGTGTCAGAAAGTTTATGTGTGTCAAGTGTACGTAGCGCATATGCTAAGTGTGATATGCTATATGTAAATTATTATATATTTTCTAATGAGTTGAGTTTTATTTTCAGAGTGGGTTATGTAAAAAGGATACTTTGAACTCATGTATTGTTCAATATATGTTTATATATATATATATATATGTATTGTTCAATATATGTTTATATATATATATATATATATATATATATATAGTATGTTACCATGCTACTATTTTACTGATTGGTTTTCCATTGTTTGTTTATTAATTATTTTTTCCATCTTTTTTTTAAATCACTATGTAGTATGTTTTTTTATTCACTGTCATTCATTTTGTAATAATTAGATGGCTCCAAATCGGCCAAAACTTTTAGTAGACATTTCTGATAGTGATGAGATAGATGATACTGACTTCGAGGATGATTGCGGACCTTCAGCATATGTTGGCAATGGAGCACGTTTCAGAAAACCAATAGATGTGGCTTCTGAAAGTGAAGTAAGTGTTGATATGTGTGTATAGCAATATTTATCTTTTTTGTGTTTTACATGTTGAAATCTTTTTTTTTTAAATGAGCCACTGTGTTTTGTGTTTCAGGAGTCTATGTCAAGTGAGCCCGATGATTTGAATGAAGCTTTGTATAATCACTATCTGAAAGAGGTATGTGTCCTTCACATATAGTTAGTGTATTTATAAATTTCAAACTCTTCTTTTCATGTATTTTTTGTTCAACCATCCGTTTCTACTATGTCTATTGCAGTATAACAAAGTGAAGAAACTCAAGAAGAAATTATCAAAGTCTTTCCATCATAAGGTTAGTTTTTGGGAAAAGCTAAACACGACTCAGGTGTTTTATTGATTGCCAACACATGATTTTTTGTCCACCTGTGCATGACGATCTTCTTCTTTAAGTACTAGTATTTAGTGTGTTTTAAAAGGCCTAGTCTCACATGGATGTTTAGGTAAGAAAAAACTGATGTGTTTCTAGAGCATCCAACACTTTCATAACTATGCTTACAGTTAGGTTATGTGGGAATTACAGTCGGTGTATATTAGTCTTACAGTCATATGTCTAGTGTAATTTCTAAGTTATGTTAGTGTAAAAAATATTTGGGTGAGTATTAATATCACCTTTTACCAGTATAAAACTAAATCCAATATTAGATGTATATCTTAAATTAGAGAGTTAAACGGCTATTAGTGCCCTTAGAAACACCCAGATGTC